GAACCCCGAAAAACTATTTTTTTACGCAAATCCACGTTTATTTTGAAATGAGCCATTGCGACTTCCGACTGATTTCGATAGAGCAGCTCACATATAGGAGATGACATTCCCATCTCAGACAACAACAAAACAAAAACTGAAGAAATAAATATACAGTCGGTAGGATCACTTCAACATTTCAGAAACAAAAATAGGTTGACAACCCAATACCACCAAAAACACAACATGGCAAGCATATTTATTTTTCCTTTAACCCCACTCTTCGTTAGAGCTAATTATTTCCCATTTCATGGCGTGTTCAGCCACCCTTTGATTTTTTCTGGCAATAATTTTTTTCCAAAAATAAATTGTATTTTTAATCTAACTTCAAACACCTTAAATTAAGATTACTCCTTGATTGACTTGACTGAATATATATTTTAGCCAGAAGAATAGTTGTATTTATTAACTGTGCGCGGTCTTCATCTAAAAGCCCAAATAAAATATTAATGGGTGTAAATGTAAATTCAATATTTGCCACCAAATAATTTGCAAAACATTCTGATTTGTGTGGAAACATTTTCATTATTAAGATTTTTTTTGTTTTAACCTCTTTTCCTTTCTCTTTCTTGATCCTCCTTGGTCATTAGAGTCCTTGTCTGTTCTGGATTTACAATGTGTCACATGTTCTGAATTGACCAATCGGAACTTTATTTAGCCTCCGTATTGTTTATGGTTGAACGTGGGCCGCGAAAATGTGATTCTTAAGTGGGCCCTGAGTTGAAAAAGGTTGGGAACCGCTGAAATAGACTATTCGACTGCAACCCAGGCCTGTAACTCTGCCAAGAAGAAGCGGCCATCTCCCATCACATCTTAATCCTTTTGTTCTTTCCCCATTACACAGCAAAACGCCTGCAAGATGCTGAAAAACGGTGAAGCAGGGCCTCACTTCATGGCCTCTCCTCAGTGTGTTGGCTACAGCCGCAAGACAGCGCTGCCTCTCTCCATGAACATGTGTCTGCCCGATCTGACGGAGATCCGCAGGGCCGTCAGGCTGTGGGTGAAGAACACCTCCGCCCGCTCCGTCTACATCGCCACCGACTCAGAGTCCCACAGCAGGGACATCCAAAAGCTCTTCAAGGGCAAGGTGTGTACAACCTCTGTGATGCATTCACATGTGTCATAAATTACTTCTGGCTTCATTTCTGTCATGTGTTATAACAATCAGAATACTTGATTTATCCTGGGAGGGGGCAGTTTCTCTATTTTAGGATGAAATAAAATAAAAGATAAATACAAAAATGTAATGGACTAGCTTATTTTTGAGTCTGCTAGTTGTCACAACTAGCACATTCTTTACACGGTCAACATGCCTTAACCCAGAAGACCTTGAGTCTGAGTCCAGATTTGCATGCAAACTACGCCATTTGTCTAAAATGGAAATATTAGTTTTTGACACCAAGCATTTTAAGAATTTCCAAAGATTATTTATTTGTGTTTTTCCAGGTGAAAGTGGTGAGTCTACAGCCCGACTTGGCCCAAATGGACCTGTACATCTTAGGCCGAGCCGAGCACTTCATCGGCAACTGTGTCTCCTCCTTCTCCGCCTTCGTGAAGAGAGAGCGGGACGTCCACGGCCTCCCATCATCCTTTTTTGGCATGGACAAGCCTGGGAAATTAAATCAAAAAGAAGAACTCTGAGAACAAAGGTCACATGGTCGTCCTGGAGGACTGTAATGAGGAGGTGAGGGAACAAGTGGAAGGCAGAGAATATTTAAATGTGACATGAGGGTTCAGGAAGGCTGGTCCTGTTTTAGAATGGGTTTTAATGTGAGAAGGAGGAAGGGCTTATAAAGTATGATGCAGCATGTCAGTACTGTCTGTGAAAAGTGCTATGATATGGACACAGCTGCCACCAAGGAGAACTATTTTTGTCTGTTACCTTCTTGAAAATCCAGTATTTGCACCCTCCCAAGATTTTCCTTCCATAAGCCTGTGTTCCCTACATCAACCTAGTTTTCCTTACGATCAGGAAAACCAACAGATCCTTTAGCATTTCCTTTAGCTTCTGCCATAGTCTGTGCTGCCACCATGCTTCCCAATCCAGACATGTTCGCAGGACCTCTGGTGACCTCAGTGAACCCTGGAAAAGACGGCAGTGCCAGTGATCATCTTCCCTCCCTCTCTCTTTTTCCCTCTTCTCTTTCTCTCTCCCCATCTTTCCACCCCTCCATGTATTTTCCTGCTTGCTCTTTCCTTTCCTCTCTGCCCTCCATTCCAAGGAGAGCACAGTAACTGATCCTCCTGTACATACTAATTATAGGAAGGAAAAAGGAGACCGTTAACTGAACAGTATTGATATTCATTGAATGTGAATAAATGTATTAGGATGACAAAAAAGTTGATTTGTACAAGTTAAATTGATTAAATGCGGTTGTGGAATGTGTGTCAAGCTAATTGTGTTCCTCTGTTGGAAAGCAGTGAATGCAATGATTTTTAAGTCGAATGTTTTGTATAATGTTTTCCAACATTAAAGTGATGCACACTATTTGTTTTTAAGTACAAACCGCCTCTGTTTACATCCGTGAGTGCAAGCTTAGCTGTGAGTACAGTGGAATCAGCTGATATACTAAACTATGTTGAGACCTGGTTGCCAGTTAAGCCAGGGAACCCAGCATCTGTATTCTTCATAATGCTAGTGTTGCGTTTACCGCCTCGTTATTCACATTAGACGTTTTACGTTTTTTGAGACTGTGTGCTTAACTCTAAAATACATGCTCACTTTAGAAGCGCATTTTTTTGTACGGGTTAATGTGTTTTCACACGTACCTCTTTACGGGGATATGTGTTCGAATCTGGCAACCGTGTTGCGGGACCGCTGTGGGGATGAGCAGCGGCTAATGGCTGACTGGGAGTTCTGATTAGCTTGCCGCTGGTAAGTCTTTATCGACATATTTGGGTCTTTTGTAAAACGCTGTGTTTGTATTACAACGGTGTAATGTGACTATTGTGATTTTTATATTTTTGTATGGTGATATATTTTATGGATTTATGCCCCTCCTGCTAGCGATAGCCAGGTAATGCTACCAGTCCTGTGGCTTCGGTTACCAGTGTTTGTCGTTGCTAGGCCGGTTTTGTGGTCTCGTTATGGTCTGCATTTTGCATAAGCTAACGGTGGTTAGCTCTGCCGAACGCGTCTTTAAAAAAAAACATTGCTTACATCGTTTGAGCAGCTATTAATCTGCGGGTTATCAACCTGCTACGGCGGACGCATTGTTGTCATTGTATAGCCTAGAATTCCACTGAGGTCTAACAGTGAAGTTTATACCTGCCGGTTAACGGGCTACATGCAGTTAGTCAGCTAAAACGGTGTAGTGACTCCCCTGTGTGTATAATAAATAAGAAGCCGTGGTGCAAAGTAACTAAGTAGAATTACTTAAATACTGTACTTCCACTACAATTCAGAGTTACATCGTAACTCCACTACATGTATTTAATACCTTTAGTTTCTTTACATATTTGGATTAATGATGTGAAATACAATCAAGTCTTAAATCAGACTTTATACCTGGAGTAAATTCACAAGCTGAGTACTTATGTCTTATGTCGAAAATATGTCTTATTTGGGCCAACTAAAATCTAACATAATAATTTATCGGGTGTGTTGTAACATCTGGAAAAAATATCATTAGGCTTTACCTACGCTTGTGTTTCCACAGGTATAAGGAGTTGTCAAGACTAAAGATTACTGAGCTGCAGTACAGGTGTCAGTGTCATGATAGCTAGCTATCTCAATATTGATTCTTCCAGCCTGACTGTAAAAATGTGTGTGATGCATTTACTGTGAAGGTTGTGAGTCACCATGAGTGTTTCCTTGCAGGTCTGTATTAACCATTGAATGTGTTTTCCCTAACAGTTTGTGATGTGGGACCTTGTTTTGGTGAACCATTCCTGAAGGTGCATTTGGAAGAAAGAGCCTACGAGTGCCAGGCCGTGTTTTGGCAGCCGCTTTGCAACATGTCCAAAAGCAAGAGCTCGGAGTCGATCAAGGTGGTGGTCCGCTGTCGCCCAATGAATGAAAAAGAAAAGGCAGCCAAGTTTGAAATGGTCGTTTCTGTCGACGTGAAACTGGGCCAAATAATTGTCAGGAACCCCAGGGAGGCTGCTGCCAATGAACACCCCAAAGTCTTCACTTATGATTCAGTATACGACTGGAACTCTAAACAAATAGATTTGTATGATGAAACCTTCAGGCCCCTGGTGGACTCAGTTTTACTTGGGTTCAACGGGACCATTTTTGCCTATGGTCAGACGGGTACAGGGAAAACATACACCATGGAGGGGGTGAGAAATGATCCAGAGAGGAGAGGGGTGATCCCGAACTCATTTGAGCATGTCTTCACTCACATATCCCGCTCCCAGAATCAGCAGTACTTGGTGAGAGCATCGTATCTAGAAATCTATCAGGAGGAGATCAAAGACCTGCTCTCCAAAGACCAGACCCGCCGCCTTGAGCTCAGAGAGAGGCCTGACACCGGTGTGTATGTGAAAGACCTTTCCTCATTTGTCACTAAGAGCGTGCGGGAGATTGAACATGTCATGAACGTGGGCAACCAGAATCGATCAGTGGGTGCCACGAACATGAATGAACACAGCTCCCGTTCTCATGCTATCTTCGTCATCACGGTGGAGTGCAGTGAGCTGGGTGTGGATGGGGAGAACCATATCAGAGTGGGCAAACTGAACTTGGTAGATCTAGCAGGAAGTGAAAGACAGACCAAGACTGGTGCTCAGGGGGAGCGGCTCAAAGAAGCCACGAAGATCAACCTGTCGCTTTCTGCTCTGGGGAACGTCATATCATCTCTGGTGGACGGCAGGAGCAGCCACATCCCGTACCGAGACTCCAAACTCACCCGCCTGCTGCAGGACTCTCTGGGGGGAAATGCCCGCACAGTCATGGTGGCCAACATCGGCCCTGCATCCTACAACCTGGAGGAGACACTGACAACGCTGCGCTACTCCAACAGGGCTAAGAACATTAAAAATAAACCACGTATCAATGAGGACCCCAAAGATGCCCTGCTGAGGGAGTTCCAGGAGGAGATCGCAAGGCTGAAGGAACAGCTGGAGAAGCGCTCCGGAAAGAAGAAAAGGAGGAGGAGGAGGAGGGGTGGGGAAGGGAGCGACGGTGAGGATCTGGAGGAAGGGGAGACGGAGGAGGATGAGGAAGAAGGGGAAGATAAAGGGGATTACTGGCGGGAGCAGCAGGAGAAGTTGGAGAGAGAGAGAAAAGCCATCATGGAGGATCACAGTCTGGTGGCTGAGGAGAAACTCCGGCTGCTCAAAGAGAAAGAGAAGAAGATGGAAGACCTGAAGAGGGAGAAGGACGCCGGGGAGATGCTGTCAGCCAAAGTGAAGGTGGGCTGATCCAAACTTTTTCTGTACATCCCGTCTGACTGATTGATTTGATTTGAGAGGAAACGGTGTAGCATAGACTACAGAGGTGGGAAGTAACAAAGTACATTTACTCAAGAACTGTACTCCAGTAAAATGTTGAGGTAAATGTACTTTACTAGAGTATTTCCATTTAATGCTACTTGATACTTCTACTCCACTACATTTATTAAACAGCTTTAGCTATAAAATGCATATCTTAAAATTAAACTAATGGACGAACTGTTTGAGTCACAGAAGAGTCAAATTATTAAAACATTTCACAAAAGGTCAATCAGAACTTTTTTTGTCTACAACAGTAAAATGATGCAACAATATTATCTAGGAATGTCACATGTACATTTTAAGTACATTTTGCTGATAATACTTTTGTACTTTCACTGAGTTATGTGAGATTCTAAATGCAGCACTTTTATTTGAAATTAGTATTTTGACAATATTGTATTAGTACTACTACATAAGTAAAGCACCTGAATACAATTGATAGACTCCAAATTCAGATTCTCTTTCTTTGGATTCTATAAACACAAGCCAGTGGATAAACTCATTAAGTTGTCAATGCTTCTTCTCCCCAATGGGACTTGGTTTCATCCTCTTCTTTTTTTCTTCTCAACCCAGGCGATGGAGAGTAAGCTCCTGGTGGGGGGGAAGAACATTGTGGATCACACCAATGAGCAACAGAAAATGCTGGAGCTGAAGAGGCAGGAAATCACGGAGCAGGTACACCACATCCTCGTAATATGATTTACGCTTTCAGTCAGCAATGGCTTGAAGGTCACATTTCAGTCAGCAATGTATTGCTGCTAACAGGAAAGCTGCTTTTTTGCTGGGGGAGGGGGGCAAATGCATAAAGATAGTTTATTTTGTACTTATAACAACAAAACAGAACCTCCCTGCTGGGGCCTGAGGTATCACTCACGTTGCCCACTGACAAAGGTATGTATTAGGCCAGAGTGTCTTTTTTGGAGAGTTGAAAGGGGGAGACAGAGGGGAGGACGTTGCCTGAAACGTTCGGCTTACTCAGTAGCAGTCAGCGCTGACAAGTTTGGTCAACTTTTGTTAATTTTAGATATAAGAACGTTTTAAAACTTATTTTTTCAAAGGTTTCATTTTCATATGCACAAAAGCTACAGTGTAGTTATGGGAATGAAACACTTAAAGAGCAACTTCCAGGTTAAAGACACCTGTGAATAAAGGTGTAGGAAAATGATGAATACCCTAGATTTTCAAAAAAATATACAGAAATATACACTACAGTGACATCTGGCGTCGTTTTTGTAAGAAATGTTCACTTCCGCATAAAAAAGCCTTGGCACGTGACCTCCCGCGTGTGACGTAACATGGGGGAAACAAGGGGGAGAGCGGCCAGTGTAACGTATTAATAAACATGGATCCCAATGCTAGTTTCGACACAGACGACACAGAAGAAGTTGAACATGAATATTCGAATGCATATGACGGACCACAACCTTATAATTATGAGCCTGCTAGGCGTCCAAGAGACCAGGAGCAGCCAAGGATTAGAAGAAATAACGGCCATCGGAGAGAAATTGAGCTGTGGTGTGAGGAGAACCAGTGGAGAACTGGGCAGCTATCTTGGTGAGTGACCGGCGTTAGCTACAGAATGTTAGCTAACGTCACATCACAACATTGTAAAGTTAGCTATCATATATCAGGCTATAACTAAAGTAGCATTGATAATATAGTAACGTTACTGGCAGGACTGTTGATACTGATCCATAACAGAAACTAATGCG